GGAAGGGCCATACAGAGTAAAGAGAGCGCTTGGGGGGGCATACGAGCTCGAAACCTTAGAGGGCAAACAAGTACCCCGAGCGTGGAACATCATCAACTTAAGGCGATACTACCTATAGACCACCAAGCGAAGTGGAGAAAATCGCTACCAGAGCCTAAGGGCTAGGATGCCGAGCTAACGAAGTGGTGACAACGAACTAATAGGGACATCGGCATCTCAGAGACTATGTATTAACTCCAAAACAGGTCGTGCGAGTGCAGTAACCCAGGCAAGAAACAGATCGGGCATATGGTCAGTTCGGGAGAAAAAACAACCAACACTTAACCAAAAGAAAGTCATTCCATTTCAAAATAAGGGAGTGTACACTTCGAACAAAAAAAAAACATATCGAGCTCACAGGCCCAGAGGCGCTTATTCTTCATTTGAAGGCACTTCAACAACACCCGAAAGTTCTGCCTCGCCCTCGGAGTCCGGCTCACCATCAGCGGCGTCGGCCATCTCCTGAGTAATGTGCGAGGTGGATATCGCACTAATATCAAGCTCGGGGTATGTATTCTGGATCATCCACCAGCTTAGTTTAAAGCCCTTTCTGTATGAGTCCACCATCAGGTCATCAAAGCGCGGCGAGGCGATGTACTCATCAACGGCCTTCTTCTTGGCGTCCTCAATGCCTTGGGAAAAAATCTACGTCCTCTCCCTGATATCCTCTTGAAGATATTCAACCTGATGCTACAAGTCCGGCCTCAGGTCCGCCATATGCTTCACCACAACTCCCATGGCCTTAGCATCTCTCTGAGACCTCGCCTGCCTGGCTTGTGCAACGCGAGCAGCCGCCTCAGCAGCTCGGGAAGCCACCTCGGCAGCACGAAAAGCCTCTTCGGCAGCTCGCGCCTGCCTCGAGCTCCTTTCCACCTGGGCCGCCAAGGCATGGATTGAAGAATTCACATACCAAAAGGGAAGAACAAAATGATCAAAAGAACGACAGCAAGAAGGATAAAAGCAAAGAGTCGGACAAGAAATCTGACTTACCACCATGGCATGAGTGGCAGCACGACAAGCTACCTGGTTCAAAGGAAGCTCGGACCATGGCGCGTCCTCCTCAGGATAGATGGCCTCCCTACTCTTCTACAGAGCGTGGTTCGGTGACAACACGCTCCTGAACTCGCCTTGGGCCCCCGAGCCTGAGGGCCCAGCTCGCGTGTAAGCGGACTCAGAGTAAGCAGGAGCCCCCGTGTAAGTAGCTTCGGCATAAGGGGCCCCTGCCACCTCATGGACTGGAGGGGCCATCTCGGGCTCCCTAGGCGGATCCACAAATGGGTAGTCTGGTACTTCGGGCTCCACGTCTCGAGGCACCTTGGCACGAGTTCATTTGGCGACTCGCTTCCTCCTCTTCATGCCGTGAAATAGGTGCCCACCGCGAGTCCTCTCTAAATCCATCACACTTGCAAAATGAGCTCAGCATCAGGAAAAAGCGGAAGAACAAAGCAAAACAAAAGACAAACCTGAGTAAGGAACCTACCCGAACTCAAACCAGCCTCAATGAGCTTGGCCTCCGACAGATAATGATGGCATTTTAGTCCAAGCCGTGCCCATTGACGGAGGCCCTTCGACGTCTCTTTATCAAGCGTAACACCGGAGTCAGGGGCGGCCATCCCCCACCCGTTTTGAAACGGCCACCCTAATACACTTCGCACCCCGAAGTAGTCCCGCTTCCACGCCGGGACCTTGTTGGGAAGTTCATGTAAAAGCTTAAAACCCAGGCAGGGAGACAGGTAATACGCCCGCTTATGCCCGAGAAGGGGACCCGCTTGCTTCTTAAGCATTAAGATAGAAGAGAAGATCTACAAGTCTAAAGGAAAGCCCTGTTCGCAAAGTAGGGAGATTGTCCCCACCAAGTTACAAATGGGGTTCGGGTGAAGCTGGCCGACAGAAACGCCGAAGTGGTTCATGACCTCGACAAGTAGGGGGTGGAAAGGCAGTCGCAGCCCCGCAGCAAGCTGCTCCCGGAATATCACGATCTCTTCAGGACCGTGTTCCCAAGGAAAACTACCCGAAGGTATGAAATAGGCGTACTCCCCAGGCAAGTTGTAATAGGTAATAAGGGATTGGAGCCCCTCAGGCGTCATGGTCGAGGAACCAAACTTGTCTAACATCCGACCTCGACAAGAGGTGGACGCCAAACTACCCGAGGCGACTCGGCCTACGGGTTTGAACTCTACCTCCGGTTCGCTAGGACCATCAGGGGATGCAACTCGGTTCGTAGAACCTGCATCTGACCCCCTTGAAGAACCGTCTGAGCTATCCGAGCTAGACATCGGGGAGAGAAGATGGAATCCAGGAAAGTACTCACCCGGAAAAAGGCTTGAACGGATTACGGGAACTTGAACACGAGCAAAAGACCTTGAATGCGAAGTAAAGGCTTGGACGCGAACTCAAGAAGCAAAGCGCAGTCGTGCTGATCGCACGTCTCCTGAGACCAAGACGTGACTGGCCACACGTCTCTCGAAACTAACCGCATGTCTCCTCACATTAAAGGCGGCAGCAGCACGTTTTCAAATTTGAAAAGACGCCTGCTGCCGCATCTTCCAGCGGCGCGCTTTTTTTTGAAATAAAGCGCGCACTGTCACATCTCCCAGTGGTGCGCTTTTTGAATTTTGAAATAAGGCGCGCGCTGTAACGTCTGTCAGCATTTGTAGGCAAATCGGCGTGTTTCCCATCTTTTGGGCGCTCGAGAAACCCAAAAGAATCGTGGCGATGCACCTCGCGCTATCAGTCAACCGATTCGAAGTACGGGACAAATCCACCCGCCACCTCGCGAACTCCCCGCGCCCGGGCAAGACCCTTAGCACGAGGAGTGGGGGGCAATTGATGAAGGAAGATTTGGCCCGACCTCGTAACCACTTAACACGTCGCAAAGGCAACAATTCGGCACAACAGCTCGCCAAGGCGCGAGCTCCGAAAGGAGGAACCAGTGGTCCGAACTCCCTGCAAGGAGCCCGAGCTCTCCCTTAGGCCCCGAGCCTTACGAACACAAAGGGCAACAACCCGAACTGGCCTGCCCCAGGGCAGTTCGGGTCACACACTGTCCGAACTCAAGACTTCACCTCGCACACCACTCCAGCACTTTGCCCCTAGGACAACGAACTAAACAAACCGTACTTGACACCGAAGGAGTCTGTATCCAGGGGCGGCGCACCTGACTGACTTGAGATCTGACGCTTGACAATCGCATTCCAACGGCCACCTGCCACCGCCATCTCCAGTTACAGAGACGTCTCCGACAAGGAGCAGTGGCAGTTCTGTCATAGCAGAGGTGATGACACTCGAACTGGCAGAAGCACAGAAGTAATCATACCCGACTTGACAGAAGTCTCGGAGTGAGTGCACGAAGTGGTAATAAAAGGCTCTCTAGCCCCCGAGGACAAGTTATGTGAACTTTGCACCATTTAGTTTTATCTTGCCTTTGAGAGAATACTAACTTGCGCTTCGAAATGATCTCACCGGGTTCCTCCCCGGAGATTCCCCACTTTCTTCTCCGTTTCAAGCTCCCCTGTTGCTCCAGTCAGAGACAAGGTCGTTGACAGTTAGGACCGGCCGGATTGTGCACCATCAATAATGATAAAGAATGAACTGTTCTCAGGTCTAACCATGCCCTTATTATCATACACTTCTGTTTTTATTGGTTGTACTTACGATTGGCAAGTGAGAACACTGGCTTAAGTCTGAGATCGGTCACTTTGTGAGAAAAAAATGCTAGAGGTCACTTTGTGCGAAAGAATCCCAAGATCCTAGATGGATCGGACCAACATTGAATAATGACTTTTTGTTTTAGGAATAATCTATGATGCCGGCTTTGACCAATCAACCCCTCTCCACTGTGAATATTGATGAAAACCCACTTGATTGGTTACAAGTTTTTTGTGTTTCTGTCATCATACTGTCCCTTGAGAATGAGTGTTCAGCCTATGCTAGAATTCTTAGCCCCACTGTACAGGTGGGATGAATCTCAACCGTGGATTGATGCCAAATCCATGGGCAGGATGCAGTTTATAGGGGGCTACTAGTAGACTATGGGGGGTTGTAATTTCAGATTTCTGTGCTGAAGTGCAGTGTACTTCACCGTTGTTTTATTGGTTATTTCTCACATACGAGCTTTAAAAAAGCATCTCACTTACTACACGTCTGCCATGTTTGAAATTGCCATGTTAATGTTGGGCGATTTTGTCTTTGGGATAAGTGGACTGCAATCCACCTCAGAAATCTGAAATTGCAACCCCCTCCTAGTCTACTAGTAGTCTGCCCAGTCTACTAGTAGTCTGCCCCTATAAACCGCATTTTGCTCATGAATTTGACATCAATCCACAGACAGAATTCAATCCACCCTTACAAATCTTAGTTCCACCCAGGGGTGGACTGAACTATAAAAACCCATTTTTCTTTTTGTAAGTCAACATAGGATTCTAGGAAGGCGTGTAATGTGAGTGTTTAAGGTCTTCCTTGTTACAGCTTGAGCTGAAATGCTGAGCAGATCCACTCACGGATCTCTCAACGAAATTGAAATCAACTTCTCTGACTCTTGTTAGGAGCAATATCAAAGAGGTTCATACTCTAGCAAGAGTACAATCATCGGCTAGCTGAGGAGTAATTTCTAAAGCCTCGCCTATTTTCACTGAACTGCATTGCAATCATCGCCTATCGTTCTGTGTCGCAAGT